CCAAGGAGCCTAGAGCGGTGGAGCGGACATGGGGTGGCAGGGGACTTTGGCAGCTTGCATCTCTGCTGAACAGCCTGTTGGTGCAGGCTGCAGGGTCCTTTTCTCATTCAATTTTACCCTCGTCACTCTGCTGCTTCTTCTTTTTTCGCTAGGTTCCTCCCGACTGCCTAACTCATCTTGTCTTTCCACCCCGTGATGCTCCGGAGGAAGTTAAGAACCGGAGGTGTTGATTATGTAGCTGACAGCAGACAGGGATGTTGCGGTGATTTTCTGACTCTCACCTCGTCCGATGAGGCCTTCGACACCCCTGTCGCGATGACCTCGGCGGGTGTCCGGACGATTGGCCGACGATAACGCACATTTTCCAACCAGAAACCCAGCGCGACGCCCACATCTCTGAGGGGCTTCCGCCAACCGTCGCCGTCTCAATCCTCATCGTCGGAGCCCCAATCGTCCGCTCCCCACCGCTCGCCATTTCGTAAACTGAAAATAACCAGAAGGATTCGACAACAGCCAGTAACTGGGTTTCCGTATATGCCTTTCGACGGTATTCCGACACTTAACCCACAGCGATGACGTGCGCTCCGCCGCTTGTCTCTCGTGTCTCCCTCTTATCTTTTGCGATCCGAGGAGGGGGCGGGGGGCTCAGGATCTAGTGGTCCACAAGGCTGGTGCTGCGCTGCGGTCTTCGAGTCTGCAAGATTCTCTCAGTCAGCCCCCCTCCGCCGGCCTGGTTGGTCCGCTCTACGAGCGCGCGGCGAAACGGCAAAACGACTCAATGGTAACAAGAGAGCCAAGTCTTCAGGATCAAAGGCAACAAGCGACAAGCAACTCTTTTCGCCGGGGACTTGCCCCATCGTGCTCTGTGCTGCCTGAAAACAGTGGGCAGAAAAAGCCCATTACAACCCCTGTTGATAGCAAAAACCCTTGCTCTGCTCCGAGGGCGCACGGCTCTTTCTCACTGAGTCGCCTACGAAGGACCAGAAAGGGTATTATTGCTTATTTCTCATCTCTGATCGCAGGCTGGCAAACGGGTACCTTGCTGCCGGTGCAGTCACAAGCGAGCTGTCTTTTTGGTGATGGTGGGTGTCAGCTCGGCCGATTCCGCACGTGTAGCCAGTCGAGAAGACAGGGATCGTGAGTGGGAATGGTGGTGCGCGAGAAGCCGCTAGCGAAGGATTCGGCATGTCGTCCGCAATTCTCCCAGAGGCCAAGCATTGGGCAATCCTTGTCCGCTCCAACAAGCTTAAGATGTCGGGCGAGAGCCTGATGACAGGGCGACAAGGCTTAGGCAGATGCTGCATGCTACCTCAGCGAGAGAGAGCGTTTGGACAGGACGGTCCAGACCTCGAACCGCTGGGCAGATCTCCGACAGAAGACTTCCTTGCCGTCGACGCTGCTGATCCCTTCTTGTCCTGGGTTCAGATCACTGCAACGAGACGCTGGCCCGCCGGTCTCCAGCCTAGCGGGATATCAAGATGTCCTCGTCTTTCTTCCAGGAAACATCACCAAGCCTCATCGCTATAGTCCACCGTCGAGCTTCCTCATCTTCGTTGATAACAATTGGTTGAAGCCTAGAGTCGGGCGAAGTCATTTCCCATGCACGGCAAAAGCGGCTTCTAACCAAAGTAATGTCTCTTGGCCTGCCGCAGCGTCTTTCACGCCGCAGCCTGGCGGCACAGCAGGCACGCAGCTCACCGCAGACAGACACACAACTCACTCAAGCTAACACTGCAAAAACACGATCCACTCAGCCCATCAAGCATGTTCCCAAAAGACAACCAACGGCGGTTCGCAACGGCGGCACCCCCCTGTCCCTCAGAAGTTGCCATATCGGGCAAGCGCCCACAGCCAACCCTGCAGGAACCGAGGGTTCCCTTCTCTTCCTCTCCTCTGACGGTCAGAGTCTGAGTCCAGGAACCATGGAGGGCATGCGCCACCTGTCGTTGGCTCTCTAAGCCTACTCACCCGGGCGTCCTCACGATGGAGTCAGGCCAGTCACCATACCGGGGTGTGTATGCTCAGGCGCAATCGCGGCGTACCGTACCCGTGGGGGCCGCCGCGGCAAACGCCAGATAGCCTGTCAGTCTCAAGGCAGAAGCTGTGAGGCATGTAACCCGATCTGGGTGGTCCTCGAGTGAGGGCGGCGGATGAGAGGCAGAACACACGATACATAATGCCGCATGGTTCGCTGTTCAGTCTCCTTTGTTGGGCCCTCCTCACCCGTTTGCATCTTCCGTTTGCCCACGCCGATCAAACGTGCTCTTGACAGCTCAAGCCTTCCTCCCCCCGTTGACCAAACGGCTCACGCCACACCTTGACGATGAAGTTCATCACCTTCCTTGCGGGCCTCTTGGCCGCCGTGACCCAAGTACAGGCCGCGGCCGTCATCGCCCACTTCATGGTACTGTCGATCACCACCCTTCCCCGTCTCCGTTTGATGATCATGATCGCCCTAACATTCCCTTGCAGCTCATCAACACCAAGAACTACACCATGAGCGACTTTGAGGATGACTTCAAGCTCGCCAAGGAGGCTCACATCGATGCCTTCGCGCTCAACATGGGCATGACGGACCCCCACACCGCCGAAGCCCTCGACGTCGCCTTCACTGCCGCCGCCAAGGTCGGCTTCCACCTCCTCTTCTCCTTCGACTACATGGGCGGCGAGCACGGAGGCGCGCCGTGGCCCGTGGAGACCATCCTGGAGATGGGAGACACGTACTTCCAGCGCGAGGAGTACCTCAAGTATGGCGGCAAGCCCGTGGCTTCGACGTTTGAGGGCACCGAGAACGCCGAGGACTGGATCGAGATCAAGAACAAGACGGGCGCCTTCTTCATCCCTGACTGGTCGTCTGTTTCTCCTGAGAAGGCCCTCAGTCTTGCAGGTGGCGTCGCCGATGGTCTGTTCAGTTGGAACGCCTGGCCCATTGGAAGCACCAACATGGACACAAAGGGTGACGCTGCTTATATCTGGGCTCTTCAGGGGAAGCCTTACATGATGCCAGTTTCCCCGTGGTTCTACACCAACCTTCCTGGATACAAGAAGAACTGGGTTTGGCGTGGCGATGATCTCTGGTATGACCGCTGGAAGCAGGTCTTGGACATGCAGCCTGAGTACGAAACCCCCTTTCCCATAATTGGATGACTATGATGCTAATATATGACAGTTTCGTTCAAATCATCTCATGGAACGACTACGGCGAGTCCCACCACATCGGCCCCGTTCGCACCAACGCCCTCGAGGCCTTCTCCGTCGGCGAGGCCCCCTTCAACTACGCCCTCGACCACCCCCACGACGGCTGGCGCCACTTCCTCCCCTACCTCATCGACACCTACAAGCGTGCCATCCCCGCCTCCATCACCGAGGAGGGCTTCATGGCATGGTACCGCGGCTCGCCCGCCCTCGCCTGCGCCGACGGCGGCACGGTCGGCAACTCCATCACCCAGGCGCAGAAAACCATGGCGGTGTCCCAGGTCGTCCAGGACAGGATCTTCTTCTCCGCCCTCCTCAACTCCACCGCCGAGGTCACCGTCTCCGTCAACGGCAAGACGCAGAAGGGCAACTGGACCTCCGTCCCCGACGGCGGCAAGGGTGTGTACCACGGCAGCGTGCCCTTCACCGAGGGAGGCGACGTCGTCGTCACCATGGCCAAGTACGGCATTGAGATTGCCAAGATCGAGGGCAAGAAGATCCTGACGGACTGTCCTGAGGGGCTGACCAACTGGAACGCCTGGGTTGGAAGCACCGAGGCGCTGCATGTTGACGATCCCAACCCGACCCCGACGCAGACTGGCGATGGTCCCAAGAGCACTGCCTCTGGTGACGATGACTCTGCTGCTACGTCTCTGAGTCAAAGTCGTGGCCTTGTGTATGTGGTTGTCGCTCTTGTGAGTCTCGTTGTTGCCGGCGTGGTGTGATTGAGGTATGAGAAGAGATGAAGGATATGACAATCAAATGAGGTCATACAAAGATGACGACGAAGGTTAAGAAGTTTGGAAGATTTGGTGGGCGCTTTGGATGATACCCCTGTAGGACATAGATACCCGGTGGCGGATTGGATTTAAGGATGAGCTTGAGAATAACTTCGTGAAGGCTACATGGAAAGATTCAATTACCATGTATATTATGTTGATCATTATTAGAGTTAGAGATTCACTTCTTAAGATTTCCAGGCTGGACTGTTGGCCGCATGAGACAGATTCATAACTTTCGATCAAGAAACTTGATCTTGTAACGAGGGCTTGCCTGGTCGTGATTTTCAAACTAGAAATTGAGACAGCTTGCAATCTAAAATGGCCTCATTGTCCACCTCCTAGCTGTCTAAGACGTGCTTCAGCAGTGTCTGCTTGTAGGGAACTGGTAAGCACATACGGGCAATACAATTCAGCCAATTCGAACTTCCCATCTCGCGGCGATTTCATAGTTCTCTTAGCCAACCTTGTATCTTGGAGCCTGATGAAACAGGCTGATCCAAATTCATTCTTGCCTGATTTCTCATTTCTCATTTTGCCTTGGGCTATTGACTGCAATTTCATCAACCCCAGAGGGCGGGCGGGCTTACTCCCATGGCTGAGAAGTCCATCACCAATGAGTGGATCAGGCGCTGCTATCTCGATGCACTGCCAATACGATGATCCAACCATACTGTGTTGCACAAAGCTTCCACATCATTCCCGCCTCCCGCATGGGCACTGCAATTTTTACCCCCCAAGAGGCGATGTTCTGCCTCGGTGAAGCCACACACTCACCGAGACGGGGATCAGCATCCATGCAGCGTAGGATTCAAGGTTCCGGTAATCCAGCTGCCTTTCCGGGACTAGATAAGATGCCGACCTCCACGAAAAGAACATGCGGTCCATGCCTCAAACGGGGCTTGGACGTCATCCGATCTCGCTTCTCTCATCTCATCGTCAAGCTCCAGACCCCTCCTCAACTTCGTTCTCTCACTCAATTGATCGTGACACCATCGCATACCTGCCATTGATCGTAGTGACAAGATGCACTGGCTCACTCCGCTCATCGCAGCGGCGGCCTTCCTCTGGGAGCCCGTCGTCAGCGACCCCAAGCCAAAGTACAATCCTCTCCCTCCGCTCCGCGAACAAGCCCGGGTGCAAGATGCCTGGACCGAGGAGCGTAAAGCCACGATCCCAGCTTTGCTCAAGAAGCATGGAGTCGATGCATGGCTGGTAAACCATCTTCATCTCCGCCCTCGAGTTCCCCAATTCATCTAACGCACCCGCAGATAAGCCAGCGCGAATACGCCGAGGAGACGGTCTTCTGGTCCCTCAAACCAGCAACAACCTTTTCCGCCCGCCGCCGCACTACATGCCTCTTCCTCGCCGAGCCCCTCGCCTCCTCCCTACCTAAACAGCCGGGCTGCATCGTAGGCTGGACCACCGACGTCTGGGAGACCCTCAAAGAGCAGCTCGAGGCAGCCAACCCGGCGACCGTCGCCATCAACGCGCACCCCGAGATCGCCTTCGCGAGCGGCCTGCACGCAGGCGAGTACCAGGCCATGGCGAACGGCCTCGGCGGGGCGTGGACGAGCAGGATGGTGGTCAAGCCCGAGATCGCGGTCGAGTTCATCGCGGCACAGCCCGCGTCGAAGCTGCCGCAGTACCGCGAGATCATGCAGACGGCGTGGGCCATGATCGCGATGGCCTTCAGCGCGGAGGTCGTCGTGCCGGGGAAGACGACGACGGGGGACGTGGAGTGGTGGTTGCGGGAGGAGATCCTGGCGCACAACTTCTCGACATGGTTTCAGCCGAGTGTTAGTGTTGTCGACGAGGCGCTGCCGTGGGCGATGGAGATAGAACGCGGCGTGGACGAGGGGGCGGGTGGGAGGATTATTGAGTATGGGGATATGCTGCATGTTGATTTCGGGCTGTCTGCGATGGGGTTGAATACCGATACGCAACATCTGGGGTACGTGCTGCGGCCGGACGAGACGGATGTCCCGGAATCGCTCAAGGAGGGTTTGAAGAAAGGAAACAGACTTCAGGATATTGTGAGGGAGACCATCACAGTCGGCCAGACGGGAAATGAGATGCTGAAGACGTCTCTCGATCAAATGCACAAGGAGGGGATCCAGGGGCGTGTTTACACTCACCCCATCGGAGACTGGGGACATGCTGCCGGTCCATTAATCGGTAAGTCGCCGTCTGAACTTGGCTCATATTCACTAACCCTCGCCAGGTATGACGAATATGCAAGACTATGTGTCGGCATCCGGCGAGTTGGCTGCAGTCAGGAATATGTGGTTTAGCGTCGAGCTGCTCGTGGAGCACTACATCCCTGAACGAAACAAGACACTCTGGTTCGCCCTGGAAGAGGACGTCTACTTCGCTGGCGAGGGGAAGGGCTGGCAATGGGTATATGGGCGACAAGAGGAGTTCCACCTCGTGAGAGCAGCCAAGAAGCAGGAATCGATTGAAGAGTTGTAAAACTAGTCACGTACCAAATGGACACACTTTAGGAGGTCCAATGACCAACAGGGAATCTATTATGAATTGCTTTTTGAGTGCCCGTATTTACAACAAATCCCGCTCCCATCTATTTCAAGCCTTTCCGTTCTCCTTCTTGACAGGCGGCAGCAGACTCCTCGTCAGCTGTCTTGCGTGCTGCGCCATGAGGGCGTCCATCAGCACAATGGCCGCCATGCCCTCGACAATGGGGATAGCGCGGGGCACAACACAGGGGTCGTGACGGCCCTTGGCGGCCAGGACACCCTCGCTCTCACCGTCGTAGGTTGCCGTCGTCTGGTCCTGGCCGATGGTGGCGGGGGGCTTGAAGGCGATGCGGAAGTAGATCGGCGCGCCGTTGGAGATGCCGCCCTGGATGCCGCCGGAGTAGTTGGTCTTGGTGGTCAGCTTGGAGCGCGGGATGCCCATACGCTGGCCCTCGGCCTGGATCTCGCTCTCGGGGGTCTTGACGAAGGCGTCGTTGTGCGTGGAGCCGGGGATCTCGCAGCCGCCGAAGCCGGAACCGATCTCGAAGCCCTTGGTGGCGGGGATGCTCATCATGGCGTGGGCCAGCTCAGCCTCGAGCTTGTCGAAGCAGGGCTCGCCGAGGCCGATGGGCGGGTTGCGGATGACGCAGGTGACGGTTCCACCGATGCTGTCCTCGCGCTTCTTGAAGTCGCTGATGCAGTCAATCATCTTCTCGTTTGTCTCCTCGTGGGGGCAGCGGACGGGGAGGAACTCGTCGACGGTCTTGCGGTCGATGGTGTTGAGGAGGGAGAGGAATCCGGGGTTCGTGGACGGGGTCGGGTGCTCGGGGGTCGGGGGGAAGAGGTGGACGTTGCCGACGCTGGTGGTGAAGGCGGTGATTGTTGTGCCGTAGGCCTCGCGCAGGTACTTCTCGGCGACGGCGCCGGCGGCGACACGGGCGATGGTCTCGCGGGCGGAGGAGCGGCCACCGCCGGAGCTGGCTTTGACGCCGTACTTCTCGAGGTAGGTCCAGTCGGCGTGGGACGGGCGGGGGAACATGTCCATGGTGGAATTGCCGTAGTCCTTAGGGCGTTGATCCTCGTTCTGGACGATCATGCCGATCGGGGTGCCGAGGCAAATCCCGTTTTCGGTGCCGCTCTGGATGACGACGCGGTCCTTCTCGTTTCGCGGGGTTGTGAGGGCGCTCTGGCCGGGGCGGCGGCGGTTCAGCTGGGGCTGAACATCGGACTCGGTGAGGCTCAAGCCGGGCGGCACGCCGTCGACGATGACGCCGACGGACTTGCCGTGGGACTCGCCGTAGCTGTTTGGCGGAAAGGTTCAAGTTAGTCCATTGGCCATTGAAGGGTTCATATCGGACGCGACGCACGTCGTGACCTTGAAGTAGTTGCCGAACGTCGACATTTTGGAGGCTTGGTGATGAGGATTTGGAAAATCTGGGCCGATGTTCGGTGAGTCAATCCAAAAATCCAAAAAGAATTCGAGTCGTCCGATGCGGGGTGGAGGGGTTCGTTTGCTTTATATGCATGGCCCCGGTAATGAGGTGGGGCTTGGTCTTACAGGGATCATGTCGTTGATGAGGCAGAAATTCTGATAGATGCAACCCTCAACCTCATCAACACTCACTCATCCTCGTGTCGACGACTCATCGTAGGTCATAGTAAGTGACTCATTCAACTCCATAGTTCCCATGAGGTTCTGACGAGCGTGACAGGCTGAAATTCACTTGCGTGTGCCACAAAGACGATCCACCTCGGTCAACCCTCACCGAACGCTCAGCACGCCCCAAAACACAATGTCATTGTCATAGTCATAAGCATCGGACTCACCCCCTACCACCGTCACAATGTTCGCCGCTCGCCCGGTCTTCAGGACCTTGAGCCACATCAAAAGCCAGCCAAGCCTCCGCCCCTTCTCAGCCCTCGCCGCAAACCCCTCCTCAAAAACCCAAGTCTACATTTCCAACTCCCGCTCGCCGTACATCAACCTCTCCATAGAGCATCACCTCCTTCAGACCACACCATCCGACTCCAACGTGCTCTTCCTTTACACCAACCGCCCGAGCATCGTCATAGGCCGCAACCAGAACCCGTGGCTCGAAGTCAACCTCCCGCTCCTGCAGTCCCTAGACCGCAGCCGGGATGCCATCGACCTCGTCCGCCGCCGCAGCGGAGGCGGCACCGTCTTCCACGACGAGGGAAACGTAAACTACTCCGTCATCTGCCCGCCGGCCAATTTCGACCGCGACAAGCACGCCGAGATGGTGTGCCGTGCGCTTCACAAGCTGGGCGTGCCAGACGTGGCCGTCAACTGTCGGCACGACATCGTCATGACCACGCCCTCGGCAAACCCCATCCCCTTGTCGTCGTGCACGGGCAAACCTCTCGCAAACGCAGAAAACACGTTCAAGATTTCCGGGTCGGCGTACAAACTCACCCGTCTGCGCTCCCTCCATCACGGAACCTGTCTCCTTTCCTCCCCGAACTTGCCACGCATCGGCAGCTTTCTCCGCTCGCCTGCGGAACCCTTCATCAAGGCTCGCGGAGTGGAGAGCGTACGCTCGCGTATTCGCAACGTCGGCGTCGAGGATACGAAGAAGTTTGAGGAGGCGGTGGTTGAGGAGTTCGGAAAGATGTACGGTGCGTTCGACGTGGAGGCCAGGCTAGGAGAGGAGGCGGGACAAGTTGAGAGCGTGAAGAAGGGGATCAAGGAGCTCGAGGCAAGTTGAATCTCATGACAACTCAGCGTCATGCTGCTTTAATTATGAGTGAAGTCCTCAGCTAACGTCATTCACATTGCAGTCGCGAGAATGGATCTACGGCCAGACACCACTTTTCACCTTCTCAACGCACCCATCAGAAGAAGATGACAGGGAACGCCCTGAGCTACCCGGCAAGGTAAGGAATATGCCTCGCCTCTCAAAACATCACAGACGTTGGTCAGTTTCACAGGGCTAACGAAAGCATTCAGTTCAAACTCTCATTCGAATCTCGCCACGGCCTCATTCAACAGTTCGCCCTCGAAGGGCTCTCGTCTGCTCAGCCCCAGACTCTCTCCGAGTCCATGATCAACTCTAAGATCTGGGAAATCGACGACTGGACCCGACAACTGCGTGACGGCGGCCTAGATGCTGGTGATGCTTCAACCCTTGGACCATGGCTGAACTCTCTGCTCGGCAGGAGGCAGGTGTAGACACAACGGGCTTCGAGACCTGCCGAGCACCTGGAATTTGCGAGGCGACAGGCCTCACATCACACTTGCCGGCATTCTGGGCCTGTTCGCCGCCGACCGTACGCGGATCTGCCAACTTAGCTACCTAGTTGACGAGGTGGATGCCCGGAAGAGCAGTGATCGGTCAAAGATTCCCAATGCTCGCAAGGCTTGACGGAGATGAAGTTGCTCCCGAGTCCAACTTAACAAGAACACAGATATAATGTGTGTCGAGACGTCATTCACTATCTCTGATAAAGCTTGCGGAGAAGCCGGGGGCTGTTAGGCTGTGTGTCGTGAACTAGGTGGATTGTGATAATCCCTGGACATCATCCCATAGACGTGTAAGATATGTAAAGATCTGGCGATATACCAAATAATACAATCCCTAAACATATTAAAGCACTCTCAGATGGCATCTTTTGGTTCTATTGAGTAGGTCTGTGGCTCTGCCGGGCTCGAACATGTTTCCCAAGTTCATCGCAGTTTTTTCAGTCTCGTTGATGAACAGCATTCATCACGATATATGCTCCTCTGTTGCCTCGTGGGCTTCGCAGAAGATACCGAACGGACAGCAATCTGGTCTCTAATATTCCCAAGCGCTTGTGCACACGCTGTTTCAGAAGGCAGTGACTTCCTTTCTCATCTTCGCACGCAAATTCACACATGTGTATTTCAAACCCCCATCCAACATCATCATCACAAGCCAACGCCAAGATCACAATTCCAAAAAGGCATTCAAATCACCCCGACCATGTGAATCCTCTGTCTCACGAAGAAAGAGGCAAAAGCGTACCCCTAGAGGAAAGAGGAATACCAAGCATCAGAACCCTTCCTTCCCACCCTCTCTGTAAGTATCATCACCAGTCCCATTCCGAGACATCACACTCACTCACCTCAACACTTTCCAAAGCCACTTCTTTCCCTTCACCCTCCCCACTCTCCCACCGTCCAGGGCCCCAAATCGGGCACATATCTGCATCTGTCTCTAGATGGCCCTCGATAACCGCCGATTCTACGTTCCAGAGAGACTCTCACATCACGCGCGGGAAGTCGGTGTCACAGCATTGCTCCATCCCGACATCCAAGACATCTCTCTGTCTCTCACTCACTCGCCATCAAAAGCTGCGACAACTAGTCCAGATCTGATGAACCAAACACTACCCACCCATCAAAGAATTCCGCCTTTCCCAGACACAGGGGACAAAAGTCTGCGAAATGCTGGCCGTTAAAAGACAACACGTCCGAGTATGGTAACAATCCTCCAAGACATACATCTCCTCCCTGTTTTCCTCCGCTCCACTGCCGAAGCGATCTCCGGGGAACTCACTCACCAACATCACCCCGAGGTAGCATTCCTTCGCACACACTCACAAAAACAAATCCCATTTTCGCAACTTTCCCATCACGAGAGACGGCATGGCCCATGATAAGGGAAAAGTGGGAAGGAAGGTGGACCGGACCGGGTGTGCTGCGTGAAACATCTCCAATCAGGCAGATCCTCACTCCCCTCCTGTCCTCGAGCAGCAGACGACGAACGACGCAAAGACAGAGACCAACGGCAAGGAAGAAAGATATTGGATTGTCTTTGCCTCGCCACACTTTTGATTTACCCGCCACAAGCCCCGTCTAATTCTCTATCAAGCCCCAGCAGCGTATCCGTACTAGACAAACGGTCGGTCACCATACCATGCCACACGCCATTCGCAACCCCCCTCCCCCAAAGAACGAACGTTGCACCAAGGAAGGCCGTCGCGCCAGTCACTGGTCCCCCCCGTCCAGAAACA